ACAATGATTGCAGCAACCATTTCAAGTAATGAATTTAATGTTGTAATTGTTTCAACGAAGTATTCACCATATAAGACATTTTTGGAATATTGTCAGTATAGCTTTATAAAGGTGCCTACAAATTTACTCGATTTTTTGACGATTGACACGTGTCGATCCACAAAAAAATACGATATCGATCGTCTGTTTCTTACACATTTACTCAACTTTGTCTGATCACACTCAATGATCGACAAAAATCGAGCAAATCTGTAGGCACCTTTATACAATACAAAACAAGCTTATTTGAATGCATTTATTAGTTTTCAGCTACGGTTCTCTATACTTTTGTTTAGTGGTATAAATAATAGAAAAGGTTGCCTCTGAAGTTGGTTGTTCAGTCAACAGAATCGGAGTGCTTATTAGTTAGTTATATTACGATTATCTTGTAATGCGAAAACACATTTTTACACAAGTTAATTAGGACTCTCCAATATATAAAATGTAACATTAATTTTATAGTTAGAGGAAACTCCTATTACAGACATAATAGAATATTGGACATAATATTCCGGATTAATTTTAATTATTAATTTAATTAAACAAATAATTGTTCAACGTGGTCGAGAACTTTACACAAAAAAGGAGTTTTATGTAGTTGGGATTTTTGAGATTTTTTAAATTCGGGAATTTTAAATGGAATCTCAGATCCATTTGCTTTGTAAAAGAATAATTACACCTGGACAGTTGGCGGTATTCATGAACATAGTAATTATGCTTAAAGTTGATAAACACTGCAAAAGTGCTACTATTTATTTTAATAGAAACTAAAAATAATGACATAACATAGATTGGCGAACATTTTGTCCATTGAACGGACTGGAAATATAAATTATACTAGCATTTTCAATACATTATTAGTGAAAATAAAACTGGCAGATTTAGTAGCAGTAGAGTTTCTTAAGAAAGATTTCTGCCGTCATGCAGTAATGTGAGCATTACTGCGTTCCGGTTTTGAAAACTAACTTGTCAACTTATGTCTCAGGTAACAGGCACAGTGTCCGTGCCTCTTAGAGCTTTGCGATTTAAAGCTCTGAGTGGCACTGTAACTGTTATTGACACGCGTGTAGCTTACCACTAGGCACACAACTTGTTCGTCCCGTCACTCGATATTATAAAAAAAGATCTTTGCGATATAAAACAGACCTTACCACCAGGCGCACGACTTGTTCTTCCTAGCACATGGTATGATAAAAAACATATAACTGAGAAGACGTTGTATCAGACACTTGAATATTTTCGAAAGATGTCCATTATCTTCTTCTTATCGTAAATATTCTTCTTATTATATACTAAAATGTTTGCCATCGCGGTGACAGGATTTACCAATCGGGTGAATATTTCAAGATGATTTTAAAGTTAAAAAGTTTTCCGAACGGAATATTGTCGTTCTTAGTTTAAAATTAATTATAAATAAATTTTCTCTTCTCTTCTTCTCAATCTTTTTTTGTTTAATCTGTTGAATTATTTCTTAATTACTCTGGAATCACATTAGACATTCTTCTTAGCGTATCGTTGGCATATAGTAATCGCGATACAACGATTTACCTAGTCGCCGATTATTGCCCATGGTGCGTCAGACAAACAGGAAAGGCATGGGTACGTCGTGCGGGGAGGCTCCTTGCGCCCCACAGTTCCAATGTAAAAACAATTGTTGTGGAATATGTATCTATATCGAAGGTTCATATGTCTTAGACGACGACGACATGAAACCAAAACTCCCTTAGGAGACTCCTGCACATGTGACTGAATGATTACCTAAATCCACTTTATTTGTACTATGGGAAGTTTTGTTGTAAACTACATCCGTATTGCACCTTGTTGAGTTTTAGTTAGCTGTTTTATTAATAAGTAAATAAATAATAACCTCACAGGACTTTTTTTTATAACGTCAAGTGACGGGACGAATATGTCGTGCGCCTGATGGTGAGCCATACGCCTGTCCGTAACAGTTGCAGAGCCACTCAGAGCTTTATACAGCAAAGATTTGAGCGGCACTACCACTGCGCCCGTCACCTTAAGACATAAGTTGACAAGTCTCATGTGCCTGTAATTTCAACAGCACCCTTATCCTTCAAAACCGAAACACATTAAAGCTGACATTACTGCTTGGCGGCAGAAATAGGTAAGGTGGCATTACTTCTCTGAACGAACTCTTTCACTTTTGACATAATTTTCCCAAAAAATAGATTAGGTTTTTGTTTTACAATCTGACACGTTTTAGATCTGTATTTGGTAGTAATTTCAAACGTGCAAGCGTCCTCCCCGACGCCTCCTACCCCCACTCCTGTGCTTTGCATCGAACTGGTATTTGCGCTTTATTTTGTTGCCGTACAGAATTATCACCGCTTAGTGCGATCTGTTGAAATATTTTTATTTTTGTACGAAAATAAAATGTGATGAATTTTTAAGTCATAGGAAAAAGTTGTTAGTGAAAGTCAAATAGTGGAACAGATGATTATTCCATAGGTTTTACTTGAAAACGTCATTTTTAAGCTACTGCTCGTTCACTACGCTGATCTCCCTGAGAAGAACAAGCAAGAAACTCTGGGGATTGCTCTTTTCAAATAAACTTAAATGCTATAGAATACATTTTGAATCATATTTGTGTGGAATCTAGACTCACGTTGTCTTTCCATACATCTTTATCTAACACGCAGTCTATAATTTACTCTACAATATTAAGTAAAAAAGTAAATAGTAATAGCCCTGAGAGATTGTTACTAATTTACAGGTAACTCGGTACATATTTTCTTTTTTATGATATCAAGTGACAAGTGTTAACCGACACGCATGTCCATAGCAGTTGCAGTGCCGCCCAGAGCTTGAAATTGCAAAAATCTGAGGGGTACTGCCTCTGCGCCCATCACCCAGAGACACAAGTTAAAAAGTCCCATGTGCCTGTAATTTCACCAGCATTCTTACCCTTCAAAACCGGAACGTAGCATCATATTACTGCTTGGCGGCAGAAACAGGTAAGGTGGCAGTATTTCCCTGGACGAACTCTTTCACAGGGAACTCTACTGCAACTATATAAATACCTATGCTACTAAAGTGTATAAAATATATACGTAATTAATAAAAAAATAAAAAGTATACCTTCTATGTTATTCACGTTTCATTTGATATAACATTGTTCATATATTACTGCGGTAGTTAATTATATAACTAATAGTATCGTTAGCCAATCATTATCAATACATTTCATTGCATTTTACGATGTGACGTATGATTGATTGACGTCATGGAGTTGGGTTTTGTTATTTCCTTTTACACGATACTAAGTATAATAGTTTTGTACAGTTTTTTTTTCTAATGCTGCTTGGGACGAACAAGCTGTGCGGCTGCTGGTAAACGACACGCCTGTCCATAACAGCTGCAATGCCACTCAGAGCTTTAAATCGCAAAGATCTGAGGTGCACTACTTCTGCGCCCATCACCCTGTGACACAAGTTAAAAATTCCCACGTGCCTTTTTTTTACGGGGGGGAAATCTTTATAGATACTCCTGAGCCCAGGGAGACTCAGGGGTTATGTAGGGACTCTCCTACAACCCACTACAATCCCCCGGGTTTACCTCCCGCCTGTTGAGTCGGTGCCGTGGGGTCGGTGCACATTCACCACGACGCCGCCCGGCCGCCCTAAGTTTTGCCAGGGTTCCCGCGCCAACGGAAGGCAGGCCAGTTGTCCTCCGACCCGCCCCCCTTACGAGTGAGGCCGTGCAATGCAGGCTCCGGAGTCCCTGTCCAGAGCCTGTAATTTCACCAGCACCCTTACCCTTCAAAATCGAAACGCAGTAATGCTCACATTACTGCTTGGCGGCACAAATAGGTACTTCCCTGAAGGAACTCTTTCACAAGGGGCTCTACTGCTACTAATTGTAAATTTGTTTTGATTGATTCATAAATAATCGGTTTATCGGTAAACTTGCTAGAAGACGTTTTAATTTAATTATAATGCTCTTAAAACTTCATTAAACATAGAAGGTAGTTGGATGCAAATTATGAATTTACTCACAACTTCGAAAATAGGTTTTTCATAGAAAAAGCACAAAAGCTTTGTATTTTGAGTAATATTTAGTTAAAGCTGTGAAAACCTTTTCTTAAAACAATAAAATAAATAAAAACAAGAAAAACTAATAAAAACATACTTTACTACATGGAAGTTTTTTTACAACATAGATTTTTGTATTTTTATGTATGGTATGTCTTTGTAATATACAACATAATATGCATGCTACGACCTACATTTTAATACCACAATAGCGTTCGACAAGAAAATGTTTTCTTATTTTCATTTTACAAATAAAATAGACGAAAAATATTTTAGTAAACAATGGTGACTCGTGGTTCCGTTACAATGGCATGTTATTAACCTTTTACCGTGTTTCCCATAATGTGCTTATTTACGGTGTATAAGAGAATTTTCCAATTTTCGACAATTATTGTTGAAGGTCGCCATAACATCGAGTGACTAATATTGGAATCAAGTATCTTTAGTTACGCTTTTGAAAATTTCCTACTAGGCGAAGTCGTTCTTTAATGAAGTGGAAAGGATTATAAGCACTATCTACCGCCGGATGCGCTTGAGTCATCGGCAAGACGTCATTGGATAATTACTATTCCCTTTGGAAGATTTTGTGGAATATTTCTGAGCTTGAATTGAATACTTGTTTTTTTATTTAGTATTTATATGCGTATATTAATGTTAGATATTTTAAAATTATTTTCAAGTATGTATGTAAAAATCAACAATGTTTATGTAAGCGTGCTAAATATGTTTACATATCTATTCAGAGACGTAATTAGGTTGAGTCCCAAATAATCATATATAAAGAAATTAATGAATCGCTTTTCCGAAATCTGCCCATACACTGTAGCAACATCCTGGGCACCCGGATGTCCGGAACCGGAGCTGAAATTTCCGTTCACATAAACGTAAGTGTCTGCATTTCATTATAAGCAAGGTCGTTTATTAGCAATCGGAATTTCCAACCCTTACCCACCGGGCCCGTACATAGACATAACCGGACCCTTGCGGCTTGGGGAGGGAACTGATGACCCGCCTTCCGTTAGCACGCGGCGTCATTGGCTTGTTGGAGGGGCTCGACCGATTCTCACCTGCCATATGGCCTCGCCCACCGGAGCCCCACTTTACCTTACCACCAGGGCTTTATCTTACGTGCGTCGCTTCAACTGATTTAGTCGGTCACCCGACACGAAGCGTGCCACATCACCTCGCGTTTTTGGAGGTGTTACACATCGTCTAATAATGGATTACATTGTCATCCCCAACTTTGCTTTATTGCGACACGTTACTATGATAGTAAGACTCAAGACGGAAGTGACCTCAAGTTGTTGTCAGCCACAAGTGCATCCTGTCAAGGGTTGCTCCAATGTTGTGCACCGGCTATCGAGTTGTGAACAATGCATTAGGACCAGATTAAATAAAAAATACAGTGACTGTGATAGTGAATTAGTGGATAACACATTACCTTATAAGACGAGAGCGGCGAAAAGTAGTAAGCATTTTTTTTATTCTATTTATCTTGGGAATAAATAAAAAACTTTTCCATAACCTTAATTCTATAATAATATTAATTTTTATTTGCACCGGAAAAATTGCTCTTCTGTTATGAAAAAATAATTACATCAATTTATAGATGATTTTATAATTTCATGATTTTAATTTCAAATATCAATGTATTTTTTAAATCAAATTAATGATTCAAATGATTAAAAGTGCTGATCCAATTTCAAATGTCAAATAATAACTCTATTAACGTTTGGAGTGTTTACATATTAAACTGCAAAATCTTGACTATCATTTATTTATTTACAAAGTGTACATCCGGTGCCTACCTATACAAATAGGTAGGTTTACATCCGCAGCCAAGACTCGATCTCGCTAAGTAATAGAGCTTACAATTAAATAGGGTTGTGCTGTTAGACTGTCATTAGAAAACCAAAATAGAAACAATTGTATTTCATCGTTAGCTCCAATTTTATTGGAATAATAAATAATAATAATAGCGTTAATTTATTACATTAAAAATATAGTATAGTTGTTAAAACGAAAAACTAAATTTGTTTGCTATACGGATTCTAAATTTTTTTGTTACAATCCTAAATCGTTTTGTTTGATTTATATTTTGTAATTTAAAAGCTGTTTTTCACCTTTGGCATTATTTTCCTTTTGTTTAAATTATATTACTAAAATGTCACAAAGGAATTAAAATGAACAATAAGTATCCCTTGCAATCCATTGCAAATCCCGATCATCGCTATATCTTACTCATCATTGCAAATGAATCAATTGAATCCAATCAAAATGAAATAATCAATTTAATTGAATTAAAAATCGATACCCCATCCCTACTTACAATTTCATTACGAGCAAAAACTGGGTTCGGTCTCTTTACAATGTGAAACACGAAGATCTGAACTGACTAACTAGGCTTAAACTGTAATTAAACCAGGTAACTGTTACCGGTATGACATTTCTGGCTAAATGTTTCTATCCTTTAACAGCCGTACAGTTAAGCGCACAGACTTCACTCTACTATACTAGAACTCTTTCGTAATTGGTAGGTAGGTACAGTCTTACTCAAAAGAAAAGCCTGCCTTCAAACAGTTAATCCATATTATTTACTCATCATTCGTTGCGTAAATTAAACTTTTAAATATTTCAATATTGCCACTATGGATTTAACCATTAATCCATTCATTAATTATGCTCATTAACTTATAAATAAAAATATAACATTAATTTGAAATCATTAATTAATGAAGATAAAAACTTTTTCTGCTACCTGTACTATCGCGTTTCTATTTAAGGCCAAGAAATGATTTAAGTGTATCTGTATAAAAACATAAGCGTTCAGTCAACAGTTACGGATAATTACGCTTTTTATGCGGGCCGCACGCTCCGCATGCATAATTTTGACAGATATATGTTTAATGTAATTAATTTATAATAATGATTGACAAAGTGTACTTGAAGAATGCAATTTATAAATATTGATACCAATATTTAAAAAACTACATTAAAAACAAGTAATTAGCAGTAATACTCAAAGGTTTTAATAGCTTCTTTTCTTGTATCATTAAAGGGTACAGTAATGACTGTGCCCTATATAATAATGATTAGGATCGATTTCTTATTAATTATTGACATTATATTTAATTACGATGTACTAATTAGTTGCTTATTGTGACATATTTGTCAACGAGTATTAAGACTGTAAATAATAAAAAAGAAATTAATTATTGACGTCAGTAAATGTAAAAAGCTTTTAGAAGCAGTAGTGTAACTCAAAATATATCATTATGGTTTCAAAAAAAAAATTCTGTGAAGTTTTATTTCAGATATAAAAATTGGAGTCAGCTTTTAATCGAACTAGGAGCAGCAAACTCTTATCTGTATAAGCAACACTGTTTCAAAGAATTATTTTTTTTATAATACTAAGTGACAGGACGAACAAGTCGTTTGTCTGGTGGAAAGCAACACGCCTGTCCAATTTGCCTGTAATTTCACCAGGACCCAAACCCTTCGAAACCGGAACACAGTAATGTTCACATTACTGCTTGGTAGCAGAAATAGGTAAAGTGGTAGTACTTCCCTGGACGAACTCTTTCACAAGAAGCTCTACTGCTACTATTACTACGATACTATTTTATTATAAATACAAGATTCGTTACAAAGAACAAGTAGTAGCAAAACCCCAAACCTTATCTTCGGCAATTAAATAACAATTACACTTGCGTATGTCCGCCAAACACCAATAAAGGGAAAATAAAACGCTATATTGTATTTATTTTCCCGGAAGTTAACTTTCGTGTCGTATTGATTGTTAATTAGCTTATTAATAGATCGTAATATCCGATATTAGCCACGTTGTATAGGAATATGATGAGGACAGCCTCTTAAACTCGTGACAAGCTTAGAACTTTAACTTTTCTAGTAGTCATACGCTGCATGTTGTGTGGTTAGCATATTTGCGTATATCGGATGACTGAGCAAAATAATTAGCGTAATAGCATATCATCTAAGCAGAGCTAAGGGTGCCTGCGCACGCACAGCGTTGTCGCGTCACTTTCATGAACTACGTCCGCGTCATTAGGGCTGCGGTCCACTCCCTCATTAGCAACATTTTCACATAAAAGCGCTGCCCCGGCGCAGCTCATTTACCGCCCCGACTCGACACAATTATCAACAGTTATTTCAGTGAGCCACTCATGATTGCCGTATTTAGCTGTCACCCATTTACTGAGACATGTCGATCTCAACTAAGATGTAAACCCCACTGCAATAACCATCACTGTATGAAACCTAATTTACCCCTAAAAAAAGTAATGAGCACTGAAAATTGCTTTTCAATTATATAAATTTCCACTCAAAAAGCAATTACCGAAAACATGTAAACGCCAGTTGGTACCTTATTAAGTTTTCGGGTGTTTCATTAATTCAGAAGCGGACGTCGATCGATCTTCATTCCCGTCCTATTACCATTTAGAGCGATTTTCAGTTAATGAAGAGTGTATCACCGCACATCTTGTGATACCCAGCACGCCGCCACGCGCGTCCCCGCGCGATAATCGCCCTTATTATGCGCAGTCAAATTTTACGAGCGCATCGGTTGTTAGCCGCTACTAACAAAATGATGAACCGACTCAAATTAAACGTCTATTATGGCTAAACATGACGCTTTTTCTATTTTATGTCACGCGGACGGGTATAGGTCCCGTTAATGACCCAGCGCTGCAACCCTATCTAGATCATAAGTGCAGGGCGGTGAGATTCAGAGCAAAACAAAAACGTTGTTAATTTAATATAAACGACGGCGCGTTGGTGGCTAAGATTTTGACGCATTCATATTACAAATTTACATAATGATTGCGCAGGCGCCGGCGACAGACGACGTCCGGCCGTCGAACGGCGCAAGTTTTCTCGGTTTTTGAGCCGAAATTCTAGTTAGCAGGCGCGCGATTTCTTTTTAAAAAGGTTAACAAGGTCCCCTCGTTTGAGTCGTTTTTCGTGCCGCGATGCCTCCTTTTGTGTACGGGCGAGCTGTTAAAAAATAAACGAATTCTTTGTTTCTCGGGTAGTCGGGCCGACCTCCGACGCGGTCCCTACTTTTTTATGTCCCCTTATAACCTGTGTATTACTTACGTGTAGGTATCTACGGCTTTTTATGGTCGCCTGGTCAGTTCTTCAATGGGCTAAGGAATTCGATCGAGACTCCTGGTTAATGTTCATTTAAAATTATACCTCAATTATGTAATTTAAGTTGACGTCCCTTGTAAATTAAAGTATTACAGTAGTTCGATAAACATAAATTAACAAAGGAAATAGGAATTGAAAATTGCTGTTCATAGATTATGTTGTATGCTTCTATCGTGTACTCTAATAAACATTTCTCGTAGCGGAAACATGAGTTACTTTAGTCATTTTCAGTTTTCACCAAACGAATACTCGGAAGCATTGTACGTGAACATCGACCAACTTTATATAAAAAATCTCTCTGAGATTTTTCTCAGGAAAATGTCTGTCGCACAATAACTCTACGTCTTTTACGAGCTGACCTGTTGGTTTTTTTTTTGGTTGAACTTTTGACGGCGGTCTCGCGGTTGCTTTTGACCGGCACTCTAATAAAATGTTATGATCGTGTGTTTAACGCGTGTTGTTGTGTCGGGCCTTCTTTTTGACATGATCGTTATTGCCCCGCTCCACCTCTGCGGTCGCCTTTTGTGTTCCACTGTAACAACATTATTATTGTGTCAATTAGTCTGCTTCTAAATCGTAGAACAAAGGGCTGTAATTATTTTATATAGCACTTTATTGTTCCTGCACATTTGTATATGAACTCTAAATCACGGTACAAACTACTCCTTATTATCATACATATATACATTTGTATCCATTTAAAAGTATATTCTTGTCTCTTTCCTAAATAAGGGGGCGTGTGGTGATCCAGAGGGTCTAGTTAAATAATAAGCGGTGAGGGTCCTATAACTATAATATTCTTTTATTTGGCCGCTGCCCCCGGCAAGAGCGAAATTGGTCGAGAGCCCGCTAACGAGCCGCATTGGCAAAAAAACACGCACATATTTGTAATATAAGATGTATTGATAGATTTTATTTAAATTCTTTTGTAGTTCAAAAGCAGATAATGATCTTTGAGTGAAACGTTAAGCTTGTTTGAGTTTTGACGTATGGAAATTGGAAACAATAGACAGAGTTACTTAAATTTTAAATGTTGGAAAACCCCTCCGTACAGCGAATTACTCACCGTACATCATCGTTTCGGACCATGCGAATTGTCTTAAAAGATAACCTTAGTCATAAACTATCAGACAAAACCGTAGACATGATTCACACATTGAGTCAAAACAGAGAAAAAATATTACGCCTATGAGTAACACTCACTCCAAAGCCGTTTCAATTATATTTAATAACCATAGCTGTGTTATGGACGCCTGGCGCCGAATGCTGTAATAATTATTGAATCCCATAATCCAAGAAGACATACAATATTTATCATTGCGTAAAATCAAGTAATACGTTTTATAGTCGCAAATGTTTAAAGAAGTGTAATTAGACAAAAGAATGAGAATATTTTGCAACTAATTTATAAATATATAAATAATACTGGTTAGCCTATATATAGTCCCAGTGCTGGGCAAGGGCTTCCTCTCACAATGAGAGGGCTTGCTTCAGTTCCCACACAGACCCAATACGGATTAGAAACTTCGCACACGATGTTTTCCTTCACCGAAAAAAGCTCATGGTAAATTTCAAATTAAATTTCGTACATAAATTCCGAAAAACTCAGAGCTGCAAGCCGGATTCGAACCCACAACCCTCTGCTTGAGAGGCGGTAGGTCAAACCAATACGCAACCACAAATTTTATACATAAAAGTTCCTGTCTCTTTCCTAAATAATGTGCATGTGATCCAAAGATAAGCAGCCTGGTAAGCAGTACATGTTTCAACTAAATAGCCGTTATGTAAGCATTACAAAATTATTTCGCCTTTGAAGGGTGCTGCTATAATTACAGGCACACGAGGCTTGTCAACTTTATATCAGATTTTATTTCAGATCTTTGCAATTTATTGCTCTGAGTTCAATTGTTATGGGTAGGCGTGTCGCTGACCATCAGACGCACGACTTGTTCGGCCCGTCACTTGATATCGTAACAAAAAAGATAATATATACTTTATTATTACGTGTATTTTATAATTGTATAATCATAATTAATCACGTGTGATCATAGTGGAAGAAAACATTACAGAAAGCGAGATCTTATAACAAACCCGCTATAATTAAAAAAAAATATAACACTGTCATAACTAAAATCTTACAAAGATACGGTTACCTATCAGGAGTCCGAAATGACATTTTCCAGAAATAACGCTATTGCTAGAATTTTCATAACCTCGAAAGTAATTTTGAGAGGAAAATGTTTTTTCTTTTAAACCTAACTTAACCTAACCTAACCGAAACTAATCGTGTCTTTGCGATAAACATCCAACATATCCTGAAAGAACAATGGTTTCGTTATAATTCTGTTTTCGAGGTAGTGAAAATTCGAACAAACGTTATTTTCGACAAACTAAATTTGAGTTTTTAATAGATTACCAAGATCTACATACCACAAAACGTCTAAATTATAATATTGTAATTAAGGTCCTGTACGAAGAGATGTGGATAGCTCTTACTACTTACGTAATACTTACACAATGGAATTAATTCAACACAAGTAAATAAACAAATACAACAATAACAATTATTATCAATTGTTGTTGTTTAAATATCAGTTGTCAATTTTAAAGTTACTGTTCCTATAGTAAACGAAATATGGTGCCGTACTACCACTGAACTACTGAACATCTGAAATGCTTTTTAAGTTACTGAATGTCACGATGTTCCACCAGCATGACACTCAATTATTTTTGTGAAATTACTAGTTTGTTGTAATTATTAATACAACGATCGAACACTAGAAAAAATCCTTCGATCCGGCAGGATTCGAAGCAACGTCTTCCAGCAAACCGTGTCAGACGCCATGTCAACTAAGCCACGGAACGAACTAGCGGACCTTACGAATTTTTCTGTATGCTTGTTGCAAATCTACGTTTTTGGTTTTTAATCTGAAATAGTCCCCGAGCTCATTCCATCGTAGATCCCGTATTAGTTCCTTTCCTAGGTTAACGTCATTTACAATAAAAAAACAATACTTTCTCATCAGTTGAAATGAACTTACTAAAACAATTATTGTTGTAAACCTTGTTACTTCTAAGTCAAATTCTTGTATAGATTTATCATAA